AGCTCTTTGTTCGAAAAATACCGATAAAACCGGGGCCCGACGTGTGGGGGGCTCTATTGAGCGCGTGCGTGCTAGCTGGCAATTTGAGGATAACCGAGCGGGTGGCGAAGGAGCTTTCGGCTTTGGAACCCGAGAGCGGCGCGTGGAGAGTAGCGCTTTCGAACGCGTTTGCAGCTGCCGGAGAGTGGCGCCATGTGGCAGCAATCAGGGCGGAGATGAGGGAGTCGGGCTGGGGGAAGGAAGGGGGGTGGAGCAGCGTGAATGTGGACGGGTTTGAGTTCAGGTTCATGGCAGGGAAGACCGAGTGTCTCGAGAGCCGGGTGATTTATGACGTCGTTGGTCGGTTGGGAAATCACGTGAGGGACGCGTGACTGAAAACGAGGCGAGCCGAGCCAAGCTCGAGGTCAGGATGCTTGAGCTCAAGCGCCTAATGAGTTGATCCCGGCTCGGCTCGTCAAGCAGACGAGCCAAAGTTTGAGTTTGAGCTTGGATGTTTATCAATATTAACATGCCAACCTCAAGTTTTAACAAGCAAAATTATAGAAAATTATATAAAAAAATTCTTTTCAAGCCAAGTCGAGCTCGGTTCGATAATGAAATGAGCTTTAAGAGAGCTCGAGCTCGATAAACGAGCTGAGCGAGCTGAACTCACGAGCGGCTCGTTTCGTTAACAACTATGATGTATTTCTGTTTGTATATAAGAGAACTAGACATGAAAATGAAATTTTTATTCTGTGGTAGTTTTTGGGTTTATTTATGTACAGACTCAAAAGTTTGGGAAACTCGAGATTTGTGATACAAATTTGGAGACTTTTTGTAGTACCGATATGTTTTAGTAAATTTTTGAAGTTAACGTTGAAAGTATATTCACTTGGTCATCGAACATTATAGAAGTATACATATCCTTTTATATATGTGTAGAAAACGAAGATGGATGTAATGATTAGTTGAATGGTATAGATAGTTTGCATATCATCATGCCGCCCATACATAATAAGTATAAATGTATGAAAAATAAATATAAAAATTGTAAAATAATTTTTTGTTCATTTATTTATATTTAGAAATTTCAAAAATATTTTTAAGATTATGAATAATATTAAAAATATTTTTTTATTATATATTTACCTTCTAAGTTTTTTGAAATTATCAATATAACCAATATCTGAAATGCAGATACACAATGAGTGGTACGGATAACAATGCTTTTCATGTATTCCTTCCATGTTAATGTTTTCTTATATTTTCGCTTGATTATATGTAACTTTGTCTTTGTGTAACACTTTTTATGTAGTCCTTCTATGTTAATGTTTTCTTATATTTTCGTTTGATTATATGTACTATGTCTTCGTGTAACATTAATGTCTTCGTGTAACATTAATTCAATGATATATGAAATGTTGTAACATTAATTCAATGATACATAAAATTTTCCTTTGATTATCGCAAAAAACAAATATTTCTTTAATACTTTATATTCCTTAATACTTCCAAAATAATCCATTCCTGCATTTGGAAAGTGTATATAATCATTTTTTTTTAAAAGCATCTACAATGCATTGAGTCTAGGCTTGCATATGTGGCATGTAAATAAACCTAAGTCTTGGATGACGTGGATGAAATTATGTAAAATTGATAAAATCCACTCTAATGCAAATGCAAAGAGACTAAGTCCCTACTTGGGTCTAAAATAAACTTAAGGGTAGACCGAGTCTCTTTTTTTGGCTGCCACATCAGTAGGACGTAGTCTATTTTTATTTGCATTGGAGAATACATTTTGTTAGATTAGGTCTGTTTCTTAGATGACATACCATTTTTTATGATTAAACCCAAAGCATTGTGGATGCTCTAACAAATATCGTGTTCCGTAATAATCGAAGTAATATGTTCTGCAACATAATCGATAATCGAGGAATAAAAACCTTGTCCAACTGACATTTTGTTAAAATAAAACTTGTAACGACAAATTTTGGAAAAAATAACAAATTTTATAAAATTTTTACAAAAAAGTAGTTTGGGACGAAAAATAAAACGAGTGCACAAGCACAAAAAGTGAAGAATTTTATAAAAATTATAAAAATTAGGTTTGGGACGAATAATAAAACGAGTGCACATGCACAAACACAAATCACGGTGTTGTTACATTAAGTTAATTAATGTATATTCTTACCATTTCATTATATAAAATTATTTACATATTATTCTTGCCAATCAGGCTGCTATAATATTGAATTATTAATATAATTTCAAATGAAAATATATAATTTTATTAAACTTAATATTAAATTAATTACATGTAAATTCTTGCCATTTTATTATATTACATTAATTACTTATAAATTACTGTCTTTTCAAAATTACGGTTGTTAAAAAATTACTTTTTTTTATGGTTGTTAAAAAAGTAATTAATTGGCAATAATTCAAAATTACGTTGTTAAAAAATTAATTCAATCATCCCATCAACAATTCAATCCAATTTATTTCATGTCAAATCGGTCACCTTTACATGATCAAGTAAATTAAAAAAAAAAAAATACAATTCACAATTTAATTTTTCTCAATATACACCCCTCATTTTTTTTTTT